GAGCAGCTCGACTGTCTGCAAGCTCTTATAATGATAAACTCTAACACGAGACCGGGCATTGCTTAAGGAGCTTTTCGTCCGCGGTACTCTTGACACCTCCAAATAGGTAGTAGGTAGTTGCTTCCGTGTCTCCCACCTTTCGTCTCCCCTCACTTGCTTCCGGATTTTCAGCCTCAGGTGCTGGCCTCGCCTCGCCTCGCCCGCTCGTGCGCGACATGGCTCCTGGGTATCAGCCCGCGACAGCAGCAGCAGCAGCAGCAGGATGGCGCCCGACACTGCAATATCCCACGAAGACGATCGCCGAGGCTTCCTGGTCCCGCCGTGGTTCGTCCGGCCGCCCGTCAACGACACCGACATGAACCTCGGCAGCCTGTTCCTGGGGTTCTCGCTGGCCGTCGCCGTCTTCGCCGCCGTCAAGGGCGGCGAGCAGACCATCAACACGTGGAGGCGCTGTCGCCGCCTCACGCCCTACGTGGTCATGATATGGCTCGAGTGGATCGCTAGCCTCGCGCTGGCCGGCATTACTTGGTCGCACCTCCGCGGCTACCTCGATGCCAGCTTCTGGGTGTGGTTCTTCATACGTGAATATGACTTTTTTTTTGTGGCATCTTATGGTTTTTAATTCCGATGCATCACGTCTCCAGAGAACATGACTAACCCCCAATGTATAGTCTTGACATGGTCGCTACAGGTTCAGTTCCTACTCCAGATTATCATCAATCGGATATCTCTCCTCGTCGGTAAGCGATAATCTCTGGCTGGGAATTCCACATTCCACGCCACTTTTGCACTCTGCAAAGTTGGTAAAAAGAAGGCAACCAGGCTGACTTGCAGCAGATGTGCCGGGTCGGGTCAGGAGGTTGAAATGGACCGTTGCCATCCTCATCACTTGTGTCAACATCAGTGTTTTCTGCATATGGATCCCGGCGCGTCTACAAATCAGCCATCGATACATCCACATCAACAACATATGGGATCGGATAGAGAAGTCCATAATTGCTATTGTCGACAGCGGCCTCAGCTCCTACTTTGTCTACCTCGTCAGGTTCAACCTGATCAAGAATGGCCTGGGCAAGTACAAACGGCTCTATTATTTCAATCTGTGCATGATATTCGTGTCCTTGTCGCTCGATGTAAGTACTCCTCTCCTGATGAATCTCAGTATCAGTCATTCGGGAGAATGGGCCGCGAGTGGCTTTCGTCTTCTGGCGTGACTTGTGCAACAAGGAAGATCTTATGCTGACACCTAAATCAAAGGTGGTCCTCATTGGACTCATGTCACTGCCCAACAATCTGGTATACGAACAGTTTCACCCCGTGGCATACCTGTTGAAACTCGTGATCGAGATGAACATGGCAGAGCTGATAGGCAAGGTGGCCAAGGCGTCGAATCCGCTCGGCGACATCGGGGACAGGGAAGTGTGGTCGCAACCAAATCTGAGCAAGGGGCCGACGGCTACCTCTTGGTTCTCCAATGCGACGACAGCCAGGCACTGGAGTACCACGAGCGACAGATTCTCCGACCTGTGGGCCAGCGGCTGTTCCCCCAACGGCGTCACGAGACCCCAGCATACTGCCCTCGTCAGCGTCGGCGGCTACGCCGACAGGCAGCACGATGTCGATATCGAGTTGGGCGCCATACACTGCCGGACAGACACGAACGCCCTGGTGGAGGACTCAAGTTGGAATACCGGTACCGAGCGTCCCAGTCAAACTCCGAACCAGGACCAGGAGCAGGATCAGGATACGGCAATGGGAGTGTGAGGTCCATCTCATCAGATGTTAAGAGTCAATGACTTTTGAATGCGACCCTAATCATGCGTACTCGATCCTACTTACGGATACCTACTTACCTATAGAATGCCGGGGTGGCATGACATGATGTTAGCCTGCTCCCCGTCAGAGGCAAAAGAATGGCCTCAACTAAGAGACACACCGAATTATACCTAGACATCTTATAGACCAAGAATTCATAATGACAAACCGAGAAAGTTCAAAATCTAGTACGAATAACAAGTCGGCAACCGCAATCACACAACGAATATCATGAAGTGGAGGAACCGGAATGTTACGATGTGTGGATGTAACATGAGGCTCTGACAGGGGCAAACGACGGAAGCCTCCATGTTTACAGGCACGTTCCATCATACGCAGTAACGCATGTAACTTAGAAACCGACAGAGCGGTTCGCCCCTAGCCACCCGCCACCACCACTGCCACCACAATGCTCACCCGCGCAGGGGGGCGCAGTAGTGATGGTGCGTAACAGTTGGCACTCTGTATTCAGTCGAGGAGGTGAATAGAAGTTGTCTGCTTCGGAATTCGGCGAGATGCATTTATCAAATGGTCTTGCGACCCTGTGGGGCTGTACTGCTAAGTCCAATGCAGTAGCAGTGCAGTAGCAGGGGTCTTGGCCCAGGGGTCAGAGCAGGTTGGCAAGTGGATCTGATTGGTCTGGCGACTCAGATTTCATTTTCTGGGTTCAGATACGGAGTACCGCCACGACCTCTACGTCATTGGCCGTCGGGTGCTGTATCGGCTGTTTCATTGTTCACTGTCCAGATCAAAGAACTCGGGCGGAGGGAGGGGGTTTTGTGTTTTTCGTAACTTTGCACAACAAACACCAAGACGGCAACCGCTCCAGCTAGGAGAAAGACCCCAATCACCCACCGACGAGGAGGAAGCCTGCAATACCGGTATCCTACCAACTTGTATACTACCAACTTAGCCCATCCGAACACCGCCGTCCCGAGATCGAGCTCGTTCGATCCATCCGTCCAGCGCGCGCCGACGACGACGACAACGACATGGCTCGAGGAGACGACGGCGACAGCAAGCAGGGCCCGATCGCACGGGTGTCGACGATGGAGCCGCCGCCGCTGGACGAGGACTACGTGAACCCGGCCGACAAGAGCCCGCGCTGGCTGCTCGCCGCGCACGCCTACACGCTGCGCCTCGGCGCCCACCTCGGCTTCAGCCTGGGCAACTGGTCCGGCCCCGCCGCGCCCTCGCCGGCCGAGACCCTGTGGCTCGACGCGACGCTGAGCGAGTGGAAGGGCCGGAACAAGATCAGCGCCAGCGTGTGGCTGCCGCCGGCTGCCACGTCTAATAACAAATCCAAGTCTAAGTCCTCGTCGTCGGGGCCCGAGTCGGGGCCCGAGTCAGAGTCGTCAGACTCCTCCTCCTCACCACAACCACCACCACCACCACCTCCCGGCCGCGGACGCGGGAGGCCCGCCGTGATCAACTTCCACGGCGGCGGCTTCATCCTCGGGCAGGGCACCGACGACGCGCGGTGGGCGGCGGCGCTGTGCGCCGAGCTGGGCGCCGTCGTCTTCTCGGTCAACTACCGGCTGGCGCCGAGCTACCCCTTCCCGACGCCCGTCGAGGACTGCGTCGACGCCGTGGCGCAGATCGCCGCGCTGGCCCCCGCCCGCTACGGCGTCGACCCGGACCGCGTCCTGCTCTCGGGCTTCTCGGCCGGCGGCACGCTGGCCACGAGCAGCTGGGTCGTCCTGCAGGACCCGGCGCGCTGGGGCTACGAGCTGCCCGTCTCCTCGTCTTCTTATCCTCCTTCTTCTTCCTCCACCTCTGCAGCCACCACCACCAACAACACCACCACCAACACCTCATCTTCCTCTTCCCCGTCGCCGCTACCCGCGGGGGCTGGTCCAACACCACCACCACCACCACCACCGCCCAAGATCGCCGGCCTCGTGCTCTTCTACCCGCTGCTAGACTGGACGGTGGACCGGCCGACGAAGCGCGCGGCGTCCAAGCGGCCGGACCAGACGCTGCCCTCGGGGCTCACGGACCTGATCGACGCGTCGTACCTGCACCCGCCGCGGCCGCGGCGCGAGCGCGACGACGTCCGCCTCTCTCCGGGCCTCATGCCCGACGAGCTCGTGGCCCGGCTGCCCCCCCTGCACCTGTGCCTGTGCGACCACGACATGCTGCTGGCCGAGGGCCGCCTGTTCGCGGACCGCGCCCGGGAGCTTCGCGGCGCCCGCGGGCCGGACCTGGTCTCGGTCCGCGTCGTCGAGGGCGAGAAGCACGCCTGGGACAAGCCGCTGCCGCTGGCGCCCAAGGAGAACGTCGGCGTCGAGTACGCCAAGGCCGTCGAGGCCATCAAGACCTGGTTCGACGGCGGAGAACAGCCGAGATGATGATGATGATGCATCAATGCGCAGCACCGCTGCTGCTGCTGCCTCTTTCTGCGCAGGGTTTGCGCAGCTCTCTATGGCAACATAATCGTTAAATATAAAGAGACGACCCCCGAAAGATGGTTGTGGAAAGGAATAATAGAGAGCCACTTGGGGGAGGGAGTTGTTTTATCTGGAGGACGATGACATAATATGAGCGACGAGCTTCCGTCATGAGGCAAGAAGGGCTATCCCTGTCCTCGAGCGTGGACAAGTCGACTCATGGATACGTGCGGAACCTGTTGGAAAGAGGATTCCCACGGATGTACATAAAATCACGATTCTTTTCGCTGGACAGGGCGATAGAATTACAGTACACTTAAAGCAAGCCGATAGCTTTGATATGTTCTCGCGGAATCGTGACAGCATTTGCGTGGTACTATATTCTTGAGGTTAAGATGAAGCTTGCACGAAGTAGCGCAGGAATAGCATGTCCTAGGAGGTTGCTATAGTTGCCTACTGAGCTGGAACATCAACCCACCAGGAAATGCCCATATGTAGCCGGGAATATCTCACTTGAGAGGCAGACGTAGGTACCTGGTAGTAGTAATCTGACAGCATACTTGTAGGTTGCAGGACATTGCGGCGTGGGACCTACATGTCGTTCCTACATGTCGTTCCGCATTTAGCCTAAAGACGGGAAACAGTCATAAAAAAGACAGCAACATGCAAATCCCCGGCCTTGGAAAAGGTGAGAAATGGCCGCCCATTCTGCAGGACTGCAACGCACCGGATGTAGAAAAAGAAAAAAAAAGAGAACAATGGCCCGGGGCAGAAAAATGACAATATCACGAGTTTAGGTCGTGCCGAGATTCGAACTCGGGTTATTGGAATTCAGACGGCTAATCAAAATCCAAAGTGATAACCGCTACACTACACAACCGTAGTTGATCTCGACTGTTCTTATTAGACTTCATACGGCAAGCTACCATCTCTGGCCAATCAGAGAGCTATCTTTTGTGGATTTCGGGGCGGACCAAAGTCGGCACTCGGCGCTCGCCCGGGGATGGGAGGCACATCACCACCATCCTCCGCGGCAGCATCACACACCACATATCTTGGAAGGTAGGTAAGTACTTATTTACTGGCACCCCTAAGCGACAGCTCTCGGAGCTCTCTGTCCTTCTTGTCCCGCCCACGAGGCTTGAGCAGAAGCACGACGACCACCCCGTCTAACTAGGTACGGTACCATACCGTACTCCGCGATGCCTCTCGTCCGGACCCTCGCCGCATCGCCGCCGGCTGCGCGCCGCCTCGCGCAGCAGCTGTTGTCCGGCCCGTCCCGGCCCCTATCGCATTACACATCTCCGTTCGCATCATCCCCCCGTCTGATCCGATTCCCGACCACCACCACCACCACCACCACCACACCCTCCTCCGTCCTCGCGCGCCGCCGCGTCATGTCATCGTCCTCATCGTCCTCCTCCTCATCATTATCCTCGACTTCCTCTTCTTCTTCCTCTTCCTCCTCCCCCTCCCCCTCCACATCTTTCCCGCCCCGGGAAGAAGGGAGCAGGAGCAAGAACAAAGACGCGAGCAGCAGCAACAGCAGCAGCCGCCTCGCGGGCCGCACGGTGGTGGTGACGGGGGCGTCGTCGGGCATCGGGCGCGCGACGGCGCGCGAGTTCGCCCGCGCCTGCCCCGACGGCGGCCTGCGCCTCGTCGTCACGGCGCGGCGGCTCGACGCGCTGCGGACGCTGGCGGGCGAGATCCGCGACGAGGTGGGAGAGGGCGTACGTTTTTTGATCTTTCTTTCTTTCTTCTGCTTCTTGACTTCTTTTTGTTTGGTCTTTCGTCTTCTTACGTCTGCTTTGGGGCTACATGGATGGCTAGTACTAGCTGTCACTCACATGGCTTTGGTCTACACAAGCAAGTGTTATATCTTTTCGATTGATATTAGGTCCTCATTTAAAGGCAGATAGCAGAAGCGAGGAAGCAGAGAGAAACGCTTGCGTCGTGCCTCACTTGAACGCAGCGATAGGTCTAATGTATGGCATGGGAGATGAGAAGCAACGGCTGACTTCTGGGATACACGCAACTAGGTCCGCGTGCACCCCGTCCAGCTGGACATCAGCAACAGCGCCGAGGTGCGCGGCTTCGTGGCGAGCCTGCCAGACGAGCTGCGGGATATCGACGTGCTGGTGAACAACGCGTGAGCCCTCCCACCCGCTTCCCGACCCCTGCCTCCTCCTCCTACTTCTCCTTCTATACTGTCTGGCCCTCCGCCGCCCCGCCCGCCTCAAAGGACGGATGATGGAGCAAGCCACCGACCGACCAGCTGCTGAGCCTTCCCGCCCTCCTCTTTCCGTCCACGGAAACAGCGGCCTGGTCAAGGGCGTGGCCCGGGCGCCCGACATCGCCGAGGCCGACATGGACGTCATGTTCTCGACCAACGTGACGGGCCTGATCAACATGACGCAGGCCGTGCTGCCCGTCTTCCTGCGGCGCGGGTCCGCGTCCGCCGGCGGTACCGGTACCGGCGACATCATCAACATCGGCAGCATCGCGGGCCGCGAGCCCTACCCCGGCGGCGGCGTCTACTGCGCCTCCAAGGCCGCCGTGCGCAGCTTCACCGAGTCCCTGCGCAAGGAGCTCGTCGCGACGCGCGTCCGCGTCATCGGAATCGACCCGGGCCAGGTCGAGACGGTGGGTCTCAACTTGTCGGCCGCTCGGCACTCGCGTTCAGAGCGCTGGACGCTGACGCTGGCTTATAGGAGTTCTCGCTGGTGCGCTTCGATGGAGACAAGGCCAAGGCCGACGCCGTGTATGCGTGCGTAGTCCCGCCCAGACCTGAGTGGCACGCGAGTACTGACTACAAATCTAGTGGCTGCGAGCCTCTGACGCCGGAGGACATTGCCGAGGTAGTCGTCTTCGCAGCTACCCGACGACAGAATGTCGTAGTAGCCGACACGCTCGTCTTTCCTAACCACCAAGCCGGTGCTACGACTATGCATAGGACAACGTGAATGAGTCGATTCTGTCCAAGTAATTGTTCGATTCCAAATAGATGATCTAGCTAGGGCAGACCAATCACATGTCATATGGCAACGACCAAGTCGAGTCGACATGTAAGGGCACAAGTACCGTCTAGTGCCAGAAAGACTTACCGTAATCACGAGTACTCGGAGCACGCAGGACAACGTACCTATGATCCAAACTGTTAGCATGTTTCCGGCTAAGCTTGATCATTGCAAACAACAGTATCAAAACAAGTCAGATAACCAGGTTACTCATTCACGAGGGTCGGTCCTGAAACCCTGCAGCCCAAGACGGAATACAGAGGTCCAAGACACTGAAGACAGCAACTCCACAACCTATCATCACAGACCCAGAGGGTCGGCTCCGGTGCGGGAGGGTGGCTCGACTCTCGTGAGATAGTTGAATGGATGAACTAGTTTTCATCATGATAGGAAATATAGGGTCATCAGGGGCGAGTACTCACAGCTAAAGCCTACAACAGGAAGACTCCAAGACGCAGCCAATGCGGGACAATATACTATACCGGGACCTGGATAACTATCAGCGGACCGGTCTGCCGAAAGGCGATCAAAAGAACAGAGTGAAGGGTATGATGTGGGATCAGAGTAAGTTTTTGGTATATAGGTTTCTTCACAGAGCTTCAGAAGCAGAACTGATTGAAGAATTCTCATCATGGACATCGTAGAGGGAATGATAGGCAATGCGACAACTCACCTACAGATCTGCGGGGTGGTGATGGACGCTGCAGATTTCATATTTCATCGAGGTATATCGACGCTGGAGGAGTGGTCAGAGAGAGCGCCCACAGCCTGCAAGGAAGCAGTAGTTCAGAGATCAAGTAAAATGATGGTGCTTCAGATGGTAGTGCATGTTTGTTCAGGCGCTCAGGTGGTCGCGCGAACTGTGGAATAGAAATCATCAAAAGCGAGCGATGCTCGTCAGGGAGGCAAGAATGGGTGAGCTTACCGAACATGCAGCAGGACAAAATACGACAAGCCGTAGTGACCCCAAGATCAGGAAATAATCTCCTAGACCTGCACTTGATGCGCCATGGCAAAAATCATCCCAACCGTGTCAGGACGCGTGGGGAGTGCAAAGACGGGCACCTTTTGGCTGTTGGCGTTGTGTGGAAGGAAAATGCAGAAGCGACGAAATCTTTGGTGCAGATTTTAAAGAGAACCTTGAAATGGTCCGTGCTCAAGCTGCGCGCCTTGGCAGGTTAGCGGTGGTGGGGCAGTTTAGCATTTTCAGATGCACGCCTGCGAAGTACCAGCTCCCGCAAGAGCTTCACCGCGCACCCACGCAAGATTTCTTCCGCGAAGTGTTCTGAGGCCGCTTATTGCGGCGTCCCACAGCGATGGCCGACCGAAGACGCATCAACGGCCCCGTAGGCCCGACCGCGCCTCCTGTCTTCGACGAGCCGCCGATCTGGAGGCCTGCCAAAGCGAAGCCGGAGAACGCCATCCGCAAGATCTGTAAGTCCGCCTCCACCACCACCACCACCACCACCACCGTGGCCGGAGAATGGACTGCTGCTGACCGAGGGGCGGGCCCGACCGCACATAACATAGTCCTTAAGACGGGCGTGACGCCCTCGGCCTCCGGCTCGGCGTACCTGGAACTCGAGAACCCGAACGTCAGCGACGGCACAACCACCACCACGACCACCACCACCAGCCTGAAGCTCACCTGCACGGTGCACGGCCCGCGGGCGCTGCCGCGGTCGGCGCCCTTCTCGCCGCACCTGATCCTCACGACGCACGTCAAGTACGCGCCCTTCGCGACGCGGGAGCGGCGGGGCTACCTGCGGGACGCGAGCGAGCGCGACCTCGGCGTGCACCTCGAGACGGCGCTGCGCGGGGCGCTCATCGCGGACCGCTGGCCCAAGAGCGGCGTCGACGTCATCGTCACCGTCATCGAGGGCGACCAGGACCGGCGCAGCAGCAGCAGCAACGGCGGAGGAGTCGAGAGCGAGGGCGGCGGCTGGGACGCCATGAACGTGCTGAGCGGCTGCGTCACGGTGGCGTCGGCGGCCATCGCGGACGCGGGCATCGACTGCGTCGACACGGTGGCGGGCGGCGTGGCGGCGCTGGTGTCGCGTAACGGCGACGACGACGACGACGGGAGCGCGCCGGAGATCGTGCTCGACCCGGCCGTGGCCGAGTACAAGAGGATACACGCGGCCTGCTGCGTCGCCTACCTGCCCACGCGCGACGAGGTGACCAACGTCTGGTTCCGCGGCCAGCTGCCCGGCGGCGGCGGCGACGCCACCATCTACAACAAGATGCTCCAGCGGAGCCTGGTGGCCTGCCGCAACGCCAACCGCGTCGTTGTGCGGGCCCTGCACGAGACGGCCGGCGCGGAGCAGAGCTCGTCGTAGAACCCGCCCGCACCCGTGTCTCCAGGATGGCCGGAGCTGCTGGGGGAGGGTCGCGTTGTGTGCGGTTTGCTGAAATCGAAGATGCCGCCCGGCCGTCAGACGAACGACAAGGAGCAGGCGGCTACAGATTACCAGGCAACACAACCGCGTCGAACTCCCTTCGACTATCCACCTACCGCCCCAAGCAACAGTTGCCGGGTCACATTCATCATGCTAGGTACCTAGCCTTACAATGGCCCTCCCCGGTCTGCCCACGAGCCATGGTATCTGGCAGCAGTCTGTCTCGGCAAACAGCGAGGACAGTACTAAGAAGGGCATTGCCAGCCAGCTAGCGATGGACTGCTGTTTGTTGCGAGGAGATGTGGCATCGCACACCTAACATTAGGTACCTAGTTACCCAAGGTAGGAAGACTTGATGCAGGCTACGTGGTCTACGATGCTGCGTAGTACCTTGCGTACATGAGCACTTACATAGACGCCGGGTACTGTACTTCTCACGCGGTACGCACTGGTTGTGGCAGCGG